CTCCAGGTGTCTGAACTGATAGTGTTTGATGCAGCCACTAAATAAGTCCCGACCGAGCTGACCGTGCTGTTATTTTTTTCTTTCTTTTGAGGCGTTTTATTGTTATTACACTGTCACAAGTACAGAGCAATTAAATTCACCTTCTGCATCTGACCCATCCCCTTGGGGAGCAGTGGGCTGCAGATGTGTGGCAGCTGGGGAGCAGTGTGGGTTAAAGGCTGATTTATACTCAGAAACCAGGTCGTCTGCGTGGGTGTCGCCCTTTCCACAGACACTCTGGTGTACCAAATTGTAGTTGAGAGCAGACAGGAGGCCTCAGATTGGTCAAATCTACATCCATTCTGTGTATTTCCTGTTTGGTACCTTACTGGCTTGTTTTGTTTGTATGACCGCCATTGTGGAAAACGACTCATGAAGATGGACCAGCTAGAAGAGTGAGGTGCGAGAGAACGCTGTGACTTTCTTTCCAACTGGATCCCCGCTCCCCCCCCATGTCCCTCCATTGTCGCACAAACTTCTCCCCAATTCCTCACCACATTGGCCGCATCTAGGCCCACAGCTAGTTCGTGATTGTCCCTCTTGCGTTGTGACCACGCTTCAATATTGGGCATAAATCAAAAATATCTGCGCCAAGCTCACATTTTTTAATCCTCCACTTTTCATGGCCAATTGATGCAGGTTTTACACAATAATGAAAAAAGGAACTTCCTGTCTTCCAGTCAGCCTTCATGTTGCCATTAAAGCACTCCTCTGTGGAGCTCCACAGCATGGATATTTCTTTTCCAACATAAAGTCCATTGCCAAAAACATTTTTTTGCCCTTTTTTCCCTTTGCTTAGCCTTTAGTATGTGAAAAGAAAACGATGCTGTGCAGAAAAGTTTCTGAATAATGTAAACACTTGAAAAAGTATCCTGAAATCTGAAGTGTATTTACCCTTAATTTGAGTAGGTAAATGAGTTTGTCAATGGAAAGAGTATTTTTACTATTAAAATAAGAATTAGATAATATGCACTTTAAACAAGACACTGCAATTAAGTTCTATTATTTTAGATATAAATTGTCTTGTTCCATTGGCAAAATGTCTATTTTATCTCTTCAATTCAAGAACTAATAACCTTATTTTAAGAGAAAATTTGTAATCTAGATTTAGATTTTTTTTCCAGTGAAGAAAATGAATATGTTGATAAAAGTTGTGGAGCCCAGTCAAAAGAATAATCGTGGTAATTTGAGTCTTTTTGATTAACATATCTTTAGTACTGATGTTTTCAATTCATAATATTTGTTTTCCAGATATGTTTTCTGAATGAAATAAATGTTGTTTGCCAAAAATGAAAACACTCTTACTAGAGCTTACATGTTTAAGGTAGACCTTGGCTAACCTATTTTTAGCTCTGAATGCTGTGATCTGCCTCGACATATGGATCAAAATATGCCGTTTTCCCATTCTAATGACGCAATGCTCTGCTGCAGTGAGGAGAAAAGTCTTTGCTGCTGAATTAACACGCAACCACATCTTTATCCAGGTTCTCATCGAGAAGTTTAAAAGAATGTAAAGAATTTTAACCCCACACGCTAAGCTGTGCAATCTTTCTCCATCAATGTGTAACAAACGGATTCATAACTCCTGTAAATCGTCTCCTCAACGGCAGAATGAACTCATTACCGCCACCTACCAGACTGCAGTATTGGGTGTGATTAAATGTAATTTGGGAAATTTTTCTTAGCAATAGTGGCTTTTATTTAAAGGCAAACAGGAAATGAAGTTGAGTGAGCGGGAGAAGATGTGCAGCTTATGTCGGAACCCATGACGGCTAATCAAGGAACAAGGGCTCACCACAAGGGTTGCTTGCGCTACCCCTGCACCACCACAATATTGAGTTTTTTTAAGGAAAAGTCTGGTCACCTCCAGAATACAAACTTCTGAAAGTACTTTAAGTATGAAATTATCACTTATTTTTCAATGAATTATAAGTATTTTACTGGAGGCATCCATGTTTGTCAAAGAACACTACTGCCACCAGTTTGTGACGTCACAGTGCAGTATCGGCTGTTGAGCAAGTCCAAGTGCTGTATCTTGTGTTTGTCACAACGCGCTATTATCCGGAACGGCGTTGACCAGTGCACTATGCCATGGCAATCCAACTATGAACCCATGGAGGATCATTAATAGGAAAGGTAAAATAACAATTTTTTTTTCATTTTTACCCGATGTATTCCAACATCCAGCTGCCATGCACGTGGGCATTGTCAGTTTCACTATAGCTCTGGTGAATATCATTGGTGAAGTCCTCTGGAAATCTTCAATAATTGTTGTTGATTGCAGATGTGTCTAGTAGTTCCCATTGATTTTGCTTGTAAAGCGGGGAGAATGGCGCTAGGCTTACCGCACCGTGACATCAGTGCCGGAAGATGTGAGGTGTCTGGCCGCTGTCAGACTCAGTGATTGCATGCTAAAAAATCACTGCAAACATATTCATTTTAGGTATAAATAATGATCGATTGGTTACTCCTTGCTGACCGAACTTTTCCTTTAATAAACTAACAACTGACAACTTTTTACTGTATGGAAAAACAAACGTCAAATTATGATCTCCAACTAGAGATGTCACATATGATTTTCGAACTGTGCAACGGCACAGGCCTCGTGGTACTATTAGGCCTCACTCCTGCAATTTTATTTTTTTTACTAAATGCTTTTGTTATATGTATACTATTATGTCTGTTCTTGTTGAGGACAAAAATGTAAAAGAAAACAAATTTAGTTTGTTGTTTTATTGTTGCTGCTATGTCATTACGCCTCTCTGAGGAAAGTAGAGTAGGGAAGCAAGCATAGCAGAATGCCGATAGGCCTCTGAGACCGGAAAGAAAAATAAAATATAAAATTAAAAAGTCACCACTGTATTAATTTAGAATCCCTATCAGAGAAGCTGTGGCTGAGCTGACTGTCATGAGCAGTTTCTATTGAGCCCTTTTCATTCTTTATTTTCTGTGCATCAAACATGTTGAGTATAGTTTTAACGAAAAGATGCTGAGAGGTCAGAAAGTGACTAAGCCGACTTGATATAAAGTTTCTTGCTGCATTATTTTCCCCTTTTTAACAAAAAATAGCCACAAGTACCAACTGAATCTAAACTACGCTGTATGATTGTACTTTATATAAACCTATTGCAGCAGGATAATTCATTCAGCATTACTATAATAGCCATGTCTGTGTGACTGTTAAGCCTTGTTAATGCTTGACGTTAGAGCTGAAACAATTAATCGGGTTAATCGTGATTAATCGATTATTCAAATTAACGTCAACTAAAGTAATAATCGATTAATTGTTAACTGGAGTATAGAGACTGTAAAACATGCCTTTAGCTGACAGAGACCCACTTAGAGCAGTAATTATACCAAGATTATAAAAAAAAAAACATTTTGCATTTAATTAAAAACATAAATCATTGTCATTATGCTTTATCCAGAACTCTAGGAGGAAAAGACTGAGTTTCACCTATTTTAATTTCATAAAAAGTCTTCTTTAAAGAATCTTTGGCCATCTGATTATTAATCAATTATTATTTGAAATAAAAGTGTACCAATGACACTGCCTTCTTGTAGAGAGGGAAGGCCATCCCACCTAAAAGTAGCGGTCACTGTGATGTGTCGTGGCTCTACAGTTTGTGATGAACCTTAATGAAGCATGGTAAACATTTGAAGACATGAAGAAGTAGCATTCTTATAAAACGTGGCAAAGACGAGGCGCTTTTTTACTCCAAAAGAAAAGCATGCCTTATTATGAAAGAAGAGGCCCAGTTTAACTGGGCTTGGCACCGATATTAGATAAGATTGGCTACATCTCTATTTGCAGGGATTCTCTGGTGTATTTTCAGTTGGGAAGCAGAATCCCTCTCCCTTAGAGGCCCATTAGCAGACCAAAAGGCGCAGTGATTCATACACTGTGATTAGAGACAGTGATTCATCAAGATGACCTTCTTCAAGCTGGCTACTGAGCTGAATGACGGTAATTAGAGCCAGCTGGGATAAACTGGACACTTTCCGCTTACAGATAACTCAATAAATTCTTACCACAAGTTGGCAACCAGAGGCTCTGTGACAATCTGTCAAGAACTTTTATTCACGAGACTTTGACCTCGAGCATACCAAAACGCTGGTGCAACAGTTGTGAGGAGTGTCCTCGTCACCTGCAGGCAGTCTTTGTGTTTTTAGAAATGTTTTAGGCACTTGAACCAAGCTGCAAATGTCAACTCCATGGAGAAACGCAGGTGTTAAGGCGGCTTGAAGTGAGAAGAAATTGTTAGTTTTGCAGCTTTTATAGATGGAGCCTGTCTTGGCAGCTGCAAAGGAGTAAAAATAGACATCAAAGTCATAAATCCTTGTTAAGCATGGTGTTTTTTCATGTATCAAGGTATATAAAGGTTTTAAAAGTTTTCAAATTACTGAATTTTAACGAGAGAACAAAGTGTCATGAACTCTGGTTTGTTCTGTTGCTTTGAAGTAGTGCATCCCCCTAACTAAGCTAGTGCTGTAACATTTGTTTTTTCTTTTTTCTACAAAAAAAAGACAACAAAAAAATGGCTTTACTATTAATTTATTTAAAAATATATAATACGGTTTTGATAGCAGTTGGGATAATTTTAGAGCTTCTTTTTTTTAATGAAAGAGTAAAGGGAGTAAGTCATGTTCATGCTATGGTCTGTTGCTTCTTTTGCTTCCGCCGTGGAAATTCTCCACTTGCAAGTTATTCAAAGTATTCGCAAAAGCTCACACCTGCAGTTTCCCCTTCTTTAAAAAACTCACATTCTTCAGTTTTCTTGCTAGAACTTTTCTAGCCTTCTTTTATTTATAGTTTTTGGTTTAATTAGAATTTCATAATCAGTCATTTTTCTCTCCATATTCTCATTTTGTTTTCTTTCTCTCTCTCTCTCTCTCTCTCTCTCTCCATCCGCCTCCATCTCTGCTCGCCCTGTGATTTCCTCTGACCGCCGCTTCTGCAGCACCCAGATATGTAGCGAGCAGCTTGAGCAGGGTCTACTCCTCTTTCTGGTCTCTTTTCCTCTAAAACAGGTAATTGCAAATGAGTCTGTGAGCTTTTAAAGCGGTTGAATCTGCCATCATCATAGAAGTCCACCTGCAGGATTTGACTTGTAAGCATGTGAATTTGATCTGACCGTCTCTCCCTGCCAGCCTCACTGATGAGTTTATGCATCTACTTCAGCCAAGGTGATATCTGGACCACTGCACTTACTGTGTGAGCTTTAGTTGCATCTATTGAACATCAATAGGTCAGTTGGCAAGTGCTATACCCAAGCAGCTTTAGAGAGCAATAACCCATGCAAACCTAGACTAACGTACATGCCATCACACCCACCAACCCACACAAAGACACGTACAGATGCATGTGGATACATGCACATAAAAATATTAAACAAGATACACCGAGGCCCAGGGGAACAGGGTGTTCCTGAAAAGGAGAACAGAGAGCAGAGTTATTTTAGTCCTTAGAGGAGGCAGACCGGCAGCTTAATGCAGGGAGGGTCACTGATTGTTGCACTTGAGGAAACATATTTTTTTAAATTTTTACTTTAAACTTTATTGTAGGTGAGGGTAAGAGCTATTTTAAGGCTGCAAATGGATGTTTTTCTTTGAAAAAGAAGTTTCTTAGGAGTAAATATGTCCTACAGGTTTTGTTTTGATACACTTGAGTTACGGTTGTGAACATTTACATTTCTGTTTCTGTTTCTGGAAACCTCTGCAGCCAAACAGTAACTGTGGTAGGCTCAATTAGGTCTAAAAAAGGGAGTCCTCATGATTTTGAAGCTGTTCTGGTGGCACTTCTCCATGGATGGTTCTTCAGTAATTGTGTTACTTATATTTTTGTAATTGTACATCTCATAAAAATCCTTGAGAGTTTTTTCTGGAAATAAATGAGGCAGAAATCTCTAAAAAGATATTAATAAACATAAAAGGGTGATTTTTTTTTTACATATGAAATAATAAACTGAAAATATAAATGATTTGGTTATAGATACAGTAGATTAAATTTGTATAACCCAACAAAATCAGTACTGGCAATGGCCTATTTTCCCGGATTTTACTTGGTGTCGGAAGTTTCGCACTGTTCTGAGGATGTGATTTCAAGCACATCCATGGATTTTGTGGATACTAAGAAGTGCCACAGGTGACGGTATCATTAGAAAACTGTTATTCCTCTTTAAGAAACTGTATCAATTGATAACTATTTCCGTTTAGAAGAAAAGTAATGAATCCCTTTAAACTGAAATCTTTCATTTACAAAAACTTTTTTTTTTTGTTGCAAAATTCACTCCATATATGATGGTGTAATGTGTGTGTGTGTGTGTGTACCTGTCTAGCAGTCAAAGTGAGGACCATCTTTCCAATTTCACCATCAGATTGAGAACCAGAGGTTGCAAAGAGAGGATATTTTGCTGGTCCTCACAAACTAGTTTGCTAATGGTTAGGTTTAAGGCTGAGGTGACAATTGGTTTAGGTGTAGTTTTAGGGTTAGGGCATAGAAGAAGTTTTAAATGACTGAAAATCAATGGGAGTCAAGACATGGTCCTCACTACATATAGCAGACAACTATGTGTGTGTTTGTGTGTGTGTTCCACTTTAAAGTACTGGCTGTCAAAGAGGCCTCCCTTGGCATTGCACTGTCACATCTAAAAATACCCTCTCCACAAATTAATACCATGTCCCTGGGCCCAGGTGCCATGGCCTCATACTTCCTCTCCATACATATGTGTTTATCTATGAATATATATATTTATTTTTTGCTCAAAATGATGAGCTGTCATCACACAACATAGTTAAAGCGCCACTTTCTTTGTATTTGTTGCTTATTGTGTGAGTCTGTGACTAACATGCAGCACAATCCATAGCTGGCCTCTGACCAGGGCTTCCTCCGCTCTGCATCCTCCTACTGACTCTCAGTGTTTGATGTGAAGGGGGCCATGACATTACAGCACTGGAAACACAATAGCTGCTGTGTGCTGCGACTGCGTCACAAATGCCCCCAGTGGTTGTCAGGCAGCAGGAGGGCCCATCCATGGGATCATGCAGTGACTCTGGATATAATATCAGGAAGTAGCGTCTAATCCATGTATGTGCAGTAGGTTCAGTGTAATCCAGTACGCATCATAGCTGAGTCACTGTGGGAGCTGGATGCTTTCAGCAGCAGATGTGTTCGGGATGATGTTTAAAATGTAGATGTTGAAGGCTCAGCTTCTAACAGCAGTTCTATTTATGGTGAAAACCATTGATAAGAGGCCTCTTTGGCTCCTTCTTTTACAGTGTAGAAATGTAGCCAATTTATTATTATATTCTCAGGTTTTGGATACGATAGGGAAAACAAATTTCATGCTTCATCTTTGAGTTACCGCATCACACTTTTCTTTTTTTTCCACTTATTGACTAAATATTGACTCATTAAAAAAATGAAACGGAAGCTATTTTCTTACCAGTTTTGATCTTTAAACAAATTTTAGGCTGACCTGAGCAGAAATGGGTGGTTTTAGACGAGGTTCTTCCAATATATGCCTCATTTCTTATTTCTTACCATTTATTTTTTTTTATTTTTTATGCTGTTTGCCCCGATTAAAGAAAAAAAAAAAACTGTCCCTGGCTGTCCTAGGATGGCATAAAACTGCCAATTTTAGCAGTAGTTCCAAAACTGGATCTAAATCACTAATTAATCACTGAAGCTGTTTTTTTTTTTTTTTTTACCAAGGCAAAAAAGTATATTTATAAAAAGTATATTTATCTATCAAACCCAAAACATTCTATATATATATATATATATATATATATATATATATATATATATATATATATATATATATATATATATATATATATATATATATAGGGTCCTGATTATGAGCAGTAGCATGCTATTAGAGTTTCTTGGCAGCTGTATATGGAGTTTGTTGTGTTTTTTTTTTTTCAAGGTACGTTTTTGATGCACATTTTCTGTTTTCTTTCAGTAATTTCTGGCAAAAAATGATCACCACCTTCCGCTCTGGTTGATGAATTATTGGAAAATGAACCGTCCTCTTAATTTTTTCAGGAATCTTTCACATATATGCAATATCTCTCATATTTTTATATAATCACAACATTTTCTGGACATAGTTTACATTAACAAATAGGGATGCACGATATTGGTATTTTGGCCGATATCCGCTATGCCGATATTTTAAAACTCATGTAGCCAATAACCGATATCGATACTGATGTTAAAGCTGGACAAAAATAAGTAGTCATTGAAAATAGCAGTTTTGTTATCCATTTCTGACACTTTGAAAAATAATATACTCAAATATATTTTCATATGCTGATATCAAATTGATTTTTAAAAACGCGGTATCGATCTATTTTACTTTCAAAATCTCGTGAATTTTCATTGTTCTGTTACAAACTCTCGTGATATTTTGCAAATTCTTGTGAGATTTTGTTAGTAAAATAGATCGATACCGCGTCAATATATCAACATATAAAAATATGGCAAAATTTTGTGAATTTTCGGGGGATTTCGTAGCATAACGATGACATATAGCAATATTTCATTAGTAAAAGAGATTGATATGGTGTTTTTAAATGGCAATATATCAGCATATGAAGATATTGTGATATTTTATGTATCAATATTTTTTCCCTCGTCTTTAGAAGTTTTATAGTCTGTAAAAAAGAAGTTTTTGAGAAAGAAGAAGAAGAAGTAGTATTTATTTATTTTTTTTTAGACTTTAGAAACTCAAGCCCCGTCCACACGAAGTTGTAAGCCCGACAGCAGGGTGAGTAGCATGAGCAGCAACCATTCAACACAGTACGGCGCCATTGTTGTTGTGATACTGTGTCGTGCATGCGTGTTTAGAGGCGACGCTATGACGCATGCGTGTAAAAGGAAAAAAAAATGCGGTCAGAGCTTAAAGATGGAAACGCGAGAACGGCATTTCAAAATCTTCCCACACTGAAGGCTTAATAAAAAAAAGATCGTTTACAGACCCCGAAACGCCGGCTTCGTATGGATGAGAGGCTGGTTTGGTGAAAAATTTGTGAATTTAGGCCAGGGTTTGACTTCGTGTGGACGGGGCCTCAGAAGCTGATCAAATATCGGTGGAGTGGCCAATGTCCGATATTCTGTTTTAAGGCCGATACAGGCCGATACCGATAGGGGGCCGATTATATCGTGCATCCCTATTAACTTCTTTAATCTTTAATCCAAAATCTTTCTTTAAAGATTGTTCATTGTTCCCTCTGAGTTTTAACTTCCTACTTTCCTTGGAAGAAAGCTGGAATTTTGTTTCTCTGCAAAAAAAGATTTGTGTCTTTAGCTCTAAACTCTTGCAAAAGTTGAGAGTACTTCAGGATTACTGAAAGAAGTGTTGAAACTGACTGGATTTTAAGACAGGTGAAATGGTTGTCATATATTTAGAGAAAATCTAGGATCCTTTGTATCCTACATTTATATTTCCCCCCTGCATTAAGCCCTTATGGGAAAAATGGTTACAGGGCCATGCATGGTGTACATTTAAAGTTAAAATAGTGAAGTATTGAAGAGTTTGATTGATTTTTTTTGTTTGTTTAGCAATAAAAGAAACAGAACAAAAAAAACTCTGATCTATAAAGTGAAATTAAATGTTTTACTGTTCTTTATAGCCCGCCTTCTTCTATGAAACATGAAGTTATAATATGTGAAGCTACAGGTCTGGTCCAATGCTATAAGTTCTCTTTTTATCAAAGACTTTTGAAGAATACACCTGTTGTGTGTGATAGATGCCAAATGTTTAGAGCAGTTGTCATTCATGTTATATTGAAGCACCGTTTGCTGTTTGGGACAATGAGTGCAGAGTTATTGTTTGCTGTAATCCAGTTTGCGGTCCAAGTTTGTGTTGGAATGCCTGTGCGTATCAATGACTATCTCTGCATGGGTGTGTGTTATTCATGTAGGCCATCTAAGTGGCACAAAGCGGGCAGTGTGTTCCCCCTCGGGTGCTGAAATGTACACTTTGGACAACAGGCGGCTTCAGTCCTTCTCAATAGGAGCT